CCACTGCACTGAGCTAGAACCACACAGGGAAACGTTATTCACATGAACAAATAGAAATGTTTCATCTTGTTTGTGCAAGAAAACCATTACGTTATGTCCAAGTCTTTCATGCTCCTTTGGTGACGGATTTAACAGACAAGATAACTTCCTTGGTTTCCTCGTCAATACAAATCAACCCCTGATTAGACAGAAGTCGACAGTCTCATAAAACACAAGCTCTCAGGTATTAGAGTCTGTGTTGTACGAGGCTGTCGCTCCTGGACAGTGTTTCCCTCCAGATTCTGTCCGTTTGCAAAGGAGTCTCATTGTGTAACGGCCAAACAGTCCTTTGCACCCTGTCCTCACCGATCATGGTGAAGATCCCCACCACACAGTTGATTCCCCGGTTCCCCAGCAGGGCCATCTCCATCTGGGTTGCTGCGCTTTTCTTCTGCACCCTTTTGGACTTGAACGAAGCCCAGATGCCGATCCCGAGGACCAGCAGGTAGAAAAGCACCATCGCTACCACGCCTGGGACATTCACAGCCATGATGGTTGAGCTGCACTAGCTGCTCTCCTCTGAGCGACCGAGGAACCGAATGAAGGACAGCATTCCAGAAGAAAACTGGAAAAGCCGAATCCTGTTTTCAAAAACATATTAGTGCCCTCTGGTGAAACTGGTTGGTTTAGTCACTGTAAACCTTCTCGAACATCTTAAATGCTGAGCGAGAGTCGCTCTGGTTAGATATTTTACACTTGATTGTGTTTTTTCTCTCATGGTTGGCCTTACAGGTGATTTGTTTTATGCCGTCTGGTGTTTTAATAAACTCAGAGGAACAACTTGGTAAATGGTCTGCACTTCATTATTTCTACACTATTCGTACTGAAAATGCTGTAAAATGTGTTTCTCATTTAGAGTCGCCCTGCAAAGTGCCTGCCTGTCTTATACAAGGACACTTTGACATGTGGGGCTTGAACCACCAACCCGCTGTGTCGCCTGAGCCACCAATGGTGGTTTTAAATCAAAGTGAAAGTCTCATCTCCCCCCTTTGTTTTGAGTTCTTCCTAAAACTTCCCTGATCCTTTCCATTTCCACTTCTTTTGTTGCCCTGCTCTTTTGTTCTTTAATTAGCCAATATGCTCATCTGGTTGTGTTCACATGGCTTTACTTGGCTTTTCTGTTTTGTTTTATTTTATTTTTGGTCACTTCTCCATGCATCCATATGGACCATTTTATGTCGTCTTTGTGTCTCCTCTCCCCTGTAATGTGTGCTGTATCTTTTACCTCTAGACTTCTGTGGTGAAAAGTTCTGTTTCAGGAGGTCACAACGCTCATGTGGTGTTCACGTGTGCATCACAATAAACATCATGATTCTGCCATCAGCTCAACATGCATGTGACCCTCAGTTTACGTCTTCCACCCTCAAAAAATGTCTCCGTCAACTTTGCTCAGCCTCAGTGCAAGGACAAAAGTGTGATAGACAGATCCTGTCTGGACGCAGCTGAGGATGTGTAGACTTCAAGCTATCAGCTAAGCTCACTGAGTCATTTGATCAACCTTGAATGTATGAAGCCCTTTTGCACATTTCAATCTGCTCGTTCCACTCAGGGTAGGATCATGACCTACATATGTTATCAAGTAAATCTGTATTTTATGTTATAGCAGGATGTCGTAGGGTATTGTAGGGTGCTGACCTTAACATTGAAGTTACTCGGGTAGATGCAGTCCACTGCTGCAGGGTCTTGACCTTCCTGTTTACAGCTGCTGTTGGGACCAGATTCTAAAACACCATGGCTGAACCTTTCCACCCAGTGAACTGACTCAAAAACACTGATTCAGACTTTCAGGGTTCCTGACATAACAAAGGAATCAATCCTTGCAGGTTTAGGACTTTCCATGTCTCCAGGTTTGATTTCCAGGTTGAACTATTAACATGTACAAATTGCTCCTTGTATTGCAATTAAAAGCATATATACAGATTTGTATCCTATTTGAACACGATGTTTTAATACTAATGGTTATGAAACCCTGTCAGGCTTCTGTCTTTCTTTTCACTGTCCCTGTCTTCACATCTCTGATCAGCATCATTCATATTGTGGAGCCTGTATGAGGCTGCTGCTACTGTACAGTGCTTTCCTCAATGTATAGAATTTATCTTTCAACAAAAAGAAAACAATAAAAAATGTTTTTCCCCTTTGATTTAAACACTGTAAAAAATAAATAAATAAATAGAAGAAGAAGAAGAAGAGCCCCAGATTTTTAATGTGGACTGTTTGAGTTGGATTTTAGGGGGAACATAAATTTGTAATTACCTGTGATTTTACTGTATTGTTATTATTTATTTATTATGTTTTCTGGTTTTTTTAAATAGGGGAAATCTCTAAAATAAAAGCTTTTTTCTTTTTAAATTACAGCTAAAAACTGTTTTACTTTTTTTCTGATCTTATCTTTAATATTTAAAATTGCTAAATCAAAGCTCTAAAGCTAGTCAACAATAACTGTTGTTATAAATGTGCTATGGCTGACTTAGAGTCAGTATTTCATTAGTAAATAAAGCATTTCATGTCATCTTTAGCATAGCCGTTATATATGTAATGATGTTTAGATTCAACTGGCTGCTTTACGACGTTTTGTTTTGTTTTGTCGTTTCTTGTCTTTGATTTCCGACCGTAAAAAGAAGTCGTGAACGTAGCACATGAAGCACGCATGCGCCGTTTGTGCTTGACTCCAATTGGTCCGTTTCAAACAGACGGCGGTCTGTTGTTGTGTTCAGCTCAACGTCAGTTTGCGCACAAAACCAGAAAATCCTGCAGCTTCAGCAGCTAATGTCCCGAATAGAAGCAACAGGTACGTTCCTCTGCTGAGTAGCGTCGCTGCTGAAATGTAAACGATTTGTGGTTTTGAGAAAATAAAACGGACATTTGTCACAGAGTGTTTAAATAATCAGTTGACAGGTGCGGCTGCCACTCAGGTGGAACATTCCAGCTAGCCCGCTAGCTTGCTAGTTAGCCGGTGAGTGTCGGTAACGGTGAAGCTAAACGATCAAACTAAAGAAGCGTTTTGGTGTGAGTTCTGTAAAAACAGCCAGCCCACTCTGACAGCTTGTTCAACGTTCATTCTGTAGCGTTCAGGCTGACGTTAGCTCCACTGCTGTCTGTTTAACCAACTGTTGTGTGACGAAGCTGAGATTTAATGAGCATCCTGTCCTCGGTGAGGTCCCTGAAGGCCTCTCTGAACGGTGACACCTGTTCACCTGCTGACCGAGGGCAGCCCGAGGCACAGGAAAGTGTGACTCCACCTTTCGTTTAGCATCTTAGCAGGTACAATTAGCTTTCCATTCAGCAGCTAACTAAAGGTTCAGGGAGAACTCAGGTTACACGCTGAGAGCCTGAGCTTCCACATTTTAATGATTTAAACCGCGTTGGACGGTTTAGGAAAACCTGTGAGACCTTTATTCTGTTTATAAAGGTTCAAAAAAGGATATTTCACAGCTTTTTAAAAGCATGCTGACCCCATGAACCCGTCCCCTGATCTGCAGTAAGTCCATATGGACAGGTCCGGTCTGGACGGGATCACAGCAGACAGTCTGTAAACAGTACAGTCTTTGTGATGTGTGAATCTGTCCTTTCATATTAATGCAAAACTAAAATAGAGATTTAACTACTTGTCTTGCATCGAGGTCCACATCAAATACCTACAGTCATCCTCAGATGTGTTCATACCCTCCTATTAGAGAACAGCAGCTGTCACTGAAATAAGTGGAAACTGACAAAAGTAATAATAAATAAAAGTTTAATTGAACATCATGACGTTGCTTTGAATTGTGGCTCAACAGAAATAAAACAACCACAAACAAACACCAAATCAAACCAGCCTGATGGGAGCTGTGAACCACCATGTAGCTGATCAACCCTCTGAGCCAATCACAGCCATCAGGTGTTTCCTGTAACTCTCAGTCAGACTTCTCACATGTTGACAGGTGTTCTGGACCACTGCTCATCAGCAAAGGCCTCTATTGGTCTGGGACTTATTATTATTTTTTAAATTGTTCTTTTCATCCACAATTCAAAAGCAACGTCTTATTTCACTCAATTATAATTTAACACATTTTTATTTATTATTCTTTTTTCAGTTTCTGGTTACTTGAGGGACTGTTGTGAGTTTAGATTTTCTTTAATTGAAGGGATGAATAGATCTGAGGAGGACTGTGTCTGTCTGTCTCTCTGTCATAATCTAGTCCAGATTGTGGTCTACATTTAAAAAATAAATAAAAAACGTGTCAGAATCTGTTTTTTGGGAGCCTTTTCACAAGCGGTAGGTTTCACCGCGCTCAGCGCCTTATGTTTAGTGTCTTTTACTGTCTTACTTTAACTCAAGTCTTTACTTTTGTGTCGTGCTTTGATCGACGCTGTTGTCCTGGTGTGTGTGTTTCAGGATGATGGAGTCGTTCCTGCACAGCAAGGCTGACCAGCGGGAGCACGTAGAGGTGGACGATTTAAAGAGAGATCAGTCATCAGAGTTCAGCTCCTTACCAGACGCACAGGTAGCTCTGGTAGCTTACAGTGAAATGATCAGTACTCATCCCTGCATTGATGATAATGATCACAGCCGATCGCTGAAGGCCAAATAGTCTGTTTTCTGTTGGTCGCTCACTCATCATCTGCTTATGCACACAAGACTTCACGAGGACTTATCTACACTATAATTAGGTTTTAATGTAACAGTCAGTTGATTAAAAACCTGGAACGGTTGCTAACATTATGTTTTTAACATTTTAAATGAAGCTCACAACACAATTACAATTTAAATGACATGTTGTTGTGTATTGGTTTTCTTTTTTAGGCACTTTGTGCTGCTGAATAAATAAATAGACTTTATTATAACTGTTCCTGCATGTCAGACGCAGGACACCGACCTGATGGGATGTCACACTAAGTCCATCCAGCCTTTTGATTCTTTCTTTTGATGGCAGGTTCTGGGTCAGTCTGGCATTGTTCCTCAGTTTGTACCTCGTCTTTTATGACCAGTAGCAACTGTTTTTCTATCAGTTCATCTGTTGACTGTTGTACAGATCAGTCGTAAAAGATTAATTTTACTCCAAAAAAAAGCAAAAGAACAAGTTCATGTTTTGACAGATGGTATGTCGTTGCATCGTACAGCACAGCATGAAGTAGGAACGAGGCTGTGTCATTCAGGTTAAGTTTCTATCACATCCCATAACCAAGTGAAAAACTTTGGTCTGTAAACTGAACAAAGTGCGATGTGGAGATGGTGAGTTGTAGAAGCACAGAGGAGCCACAGCAGCCTCCGTGTTGTGTTGGTGTTGTTGGGTGTAGTTTGGACTCTGTGTGAGCTGCTGGATGTAACTGTGAGGATGTGAGTCGCTCTCTAACGGGCTTCGCTACTGATTGTATGTGTCGGCCAACTTTCTTGGCTCCTCCTCTGGGTACTGAGACCATCATTCACATAACTGCAGGTCAGATGATGCCTCCTGTACGTAGAATCAAGACTGAAGGCTGAATCTACTTCATCGCAGAGTGCTTCAAGCTCTCCACCCACACATACACCAGGGATACATGCTGCTGAGTTTCTGCCCGGGTCTGACATGCCCGTATTTATTCCAAGTCATTTTGGCCGATAGGGCTGCAGGTGGATCAGCGGTTACCACCGTGGCCTCACAGCTAGAAGGTTGCCGGTTGGCGTCCCGGTGAGGACACCCGGGATCTTCCTGCGTGGAGTCTCCATGTTCTCCCCGTGCAGCGTGGGTTCTCTCCGGGTTCTCCGGCTTCCTCCCACAGTCCAGAAACATGCTGAGGTTAATTGGTGATTGTAAATTGTCCGTAGGTGTGAATGTGAGTGTGCTTGGTTGTCTGTCTCTAAGTGTAGCCCTGTGATAGACTGGTTACCTGTCCAGGTGAACCTGCCTTCACCCTGAGTCAGCTGGGATAGGCTCCGCCCCCCATAGTGAGGGTTAAGGTGTAGAGATGATGGATGGATTTTGGCCGATAGATATTTGCACATGTATTTCCAACAGATTTCTCCTGCAGTACCACATTATGATCTTAGATTGATGGTGCTGGCCCACTGTGTAGTAATTTCCCAGGCCTGGGATGAATAAAGTATTTTTCTATTCTGTTTCTATTCTATTCCCACTGGCAGGTGTAGACATAGAATACGATGCTTCCCCAATGTACACATTCACTCTATGAAAACCATGTGAAACATACCAGACATTTTAGAAATGGAAAATGAACTCTGTAGGCTGTCTTCACCTGCCAGCGTCTGATCAGGGCCCTCAGACTTCTCCCAGCATGCACTAAGGCAGCAGAAGACTATCACATTAACAGTCTCTGGTTTCCACTGACTGAGCCTCAGCCCGATGCCAGAAAGCTTGGCCTTTCACTTCCCTGTTTGTGGTTGTACTGAGCAGCTTCAGCAACACACTGATACAACCCTGCTGCTCCGAGGAACGCTACAGGAGGTCATTCCTCCCGACAGCAGCAAGACTCTTTAAAGATTCCATCTGAACACATTATCATTTGCACATTTCTGTATCTCTCTTATATGTTGTTGTAAATTATTGCTGAGTTTCTTCTGTATTATATTTTCTGTATTTTTATCTTGCTTTAGTTTACCTTCATTTTAATATTTTTTTCATATTCTGAGTTGTCTTCCTGCTCTGTTGACCTCCTCCGTTGAGTGGTCATGCTGCTGTAACAGCTGAATAAAGTCAGCCTAAGTCTAATCCCTGCTGTGTGTGCAGCATTCCTGCATCGAGGAGAGAGAACACCTTCAGGTCTACCTCCGAATCCGACCCTTCACCTCGGCGGAGAGCAGCAATGGAGAGTCACAGGTAAATAAGAGAAATACTGCATTTGCAGGGAATTGATCAGCTGTTTGAGTTTCTAGCTGTCATAAGTGTATTTACAGTGTTTACTGCTAAGTACTGACAGTTCTGTTTAACCATCCAGGAAACAGGCTGTGTGTTCATATGCTGATCAGCAGTATATTCTAGGAATGGAAATACCTGTTTATTGTGTTTTTGTGTTCCACAGGACTGCGTTTCCATCGAGTCCCCTGACTCGGTTCTGCTGAAGCCTCCCAGTCTGTCCCTCTCAGCGAGGCTTAGCGCCGACAGATCGCTTCCACAGACTGGGCAGCGCTTCCAGTTCTCTCAGGTTGGTCGATAAAACCTCCAACATCTATTTCTTCTGTTTCCTTTGAGTATGTTGTTAGTTGTTCGTCATCCATTGTGAGTCGTCTTTGCACCTGAAACACAGTAACAGGCCAGAAAAAAGCTGAGAAAGTCTGATAATTAAAGGAGGACATATGTTTTTGTTTTTAAATGATAGGCTTGCTGAGCCGTCTTCGTCTCTTTGACAGGTGTACGGTCCTGAGACGACGCAGAGGGAGCTGTTTGAAGGCACGGTGAAGGATCTGGTCAAAGATGTTCTTGAAGGGAGAAACTCTCTGGTGTTCACGTACGGAGTCACTAACGCTGGGAAGACCTTCACATTCTTAGGTAGATTACAGTCCCTCAGGCATCTAAAGAGCTGCTGAAATGTTGTCCTGAGTCAGGCTGGGGTGCTTTTCCTCCTGAGTAGGACTTTTCTTAATTTACAGAACTGAAGTGTGACGATGGGCCTCTTTCAGCTGCTGTCTTAAGATTGTAATGTTGATTAAACACTCAGCACAGTCTGTCGATTTGCTCTGGTCACTCCAGGTCCAGATGCCGACGCCGGTGTCCTGCCCAGGACTCTGAACGTCATCTTCAACAGTGTCGACGAGCAGGTGTTCCCCGAGATGAGCATCAAACCTCACCGCTGCCGAGAGTTCACAAGACTGACCAGGGAGCAGCAGGCCGAGGAAGCGTTGTTCAAGAGAAACCTCTTCAGACAGCTTAAAGAGGTAACCGGTCCGACCAGCATGCTCAGTCACAGCACGGCAAAGTAGCACTCAGAGCTCAGTGACCGACGCTGCAGGTGTGCACCAAGAACAACAGATATGCAATCAAGGCATCAGAATGTGGTTTAGATTGCGGCTGTGAAATGCAAACCATTTATTACAGACAGCTGTGTTGACTAAATGAAGAAGGTGTCCGAGGTCCGTGTTGCTCAGAACGGGTCTGTTCGGAGTGACTGTGTGCAACAGCAGGTGTCATAGGTCTGCAGGATTTTCTGATTTGACAGAAACGTATGTGTTTTACTGATATTTCTGACCATTAACGGGCAAAATGCATCTTACTCTTGACTAAATAAAATCCCAATTAACAGAACTGATCAAAAATAAATGTTTTTTTAATTCTCAGAAATTCCTCAGTGCAAAAAAACAAAAACGTGGTCTTTACCGGCTCAGGTGTGCCGACAGCTGAGAAAGGTGGCTGAAACACATCTGGTGTAGAAAACCCTCAGGACACTGGCTGGTGCACTGAGTGTCCTTGAGAGAGTTCAGGATGCTTGAAGCAAACAAGTTCAGACACCGTATTGTCTGGTGATACCTGAAGCTGTAGGAGGTCCAATCAGATCCTTTTATTGTCGTTATGCATACGTTTGAGTCGGAAGTCTCGACTTTCAGCAAAAGAAAAATGGCAACCAAGTACAACACAAATAATAAAGTATGAACAGAAACAATATAAACACTGTGAACAGAACCAGTGGGTCCGTGCAGCGTTCAGGATGTGAGGCAGCGGCTCACCTGCTCCACACGTCTCCGAGCGGCTGAAAACATCCACGCCACCAGTTTAATGACCTGAAGTGCTCTGAGATGAGAAGATGATTCACACACACACAGATGACTGGGCTGCTCATCGGTCAAACAGAAATAGACAACAGAAGTAGTTGTGTGAAGAATTAGCTTCAACAGAGTTCGCTCCAGTTCTCTTTGCTTAAGGCTAGTGAAGTAGGAATGCTGCTGGAGAGGACCCTCCTGTTTCTGCTCCTCTGTTATTCTCATTCTTTCTTTACTACTTTAAATACTTCCTGACATTTTTGTCTTTGCCTTTCAGGGTGACAGGAACAATGTCAGCCTGCTGAACATGACCAACAGGACTCTGCTTGAAGGCAAGACTTTTCTGTGTTTCTGCCGTTTGTTGCCCTGAAGCAGCACATCTGACACAACCCGTTTACTGCGGAAATGTTTTTGCTAATTCTGATTGAAAGCTCTGTCAACCCTTGTTTAAACTTCCAGCAGCCCTTTCATGAGCATCTCTGCACTAAATTCCTGCCGTCGCTGTGTGAGGACAATGATCTTCTTTGTCTGTGGCAGGCTCGTCCATGCTGGGTGCAACAGCAGAGGACAAACTCAGCCTGGAGGTGGAACCACACACCAAGTTCTCCATTTGGGTTTCTTTCTGTGAAATCTACAATGAGAACATTCACGACCTCCTGGAGGCGGTTCCCAGCGGTGCTCCGAGGAGAACCGTGCTGCGCCTGTCGCAGGACGTCAAGGGCAACGCCTTCGTCAAAGGTTGGGCAGAGAATAAACGCTGCTTAGCAGGCATCTGAGGTTGTTTCACGGATTTGTGAATTGTCCAAAATAAAACCAGTAGAAGAAGAAGAAACGCTTATGTCTGCTATTGAAAAACCTGTTCCCGTTAAACTTTATTGCTTTACGGTAGTTTTGCTGCCATAGAAAAGCAAATGTGCAACAATAAAGGGATCTTTTTTCACTCCCTTAATATTAATTCATTCATTAATTTTTTTTCTACTTTGCCTTTAGATCTGCGTTGGGTTCAGGTCAGTAGCGCAGAAGAGGCTTACAGGGTGATGAAGCTGGGCAAGAAGAACCAGAGCTTCTCCTCCACTCGACTCAATCATCTCTCCAGCAGGAGGTGAGGACGACGGCCGGCAGCATGTTCAGGCATTCGGCCAAAAGTTTTGAAGTCAAATTAGGTTTGAATTCTTAGATCACCTTTACTAGTGACTTTCAGTTCTTCCTCGTCTTCATCACGCTCAGTGTGAACTTGTCAGTGATGCCAGACGAGACAAGTTGAAAAGGTGGGAGACTGTGTCTGATGTAAGTGATGCCAGTACCTCCATCAGAATGGTCTCTTTGTGCAGTGATGTGTTGCTCCTGCAAAGCTTTCAGCGCTCCCCGTCTCCCTGAATCTCTTCCACTGCATCAACTAGAAGTTCATTTTGGGAAAGAGAAAGAAGTGTCACTGAGCAGGTGTGGAGGACGGGGAGCAGTGATTGTGTTGCTGTGGTCAGAAGCTGCTCCGTAACAGCTGGAGAACCACATGCCTTTGACGCCGATTGTTGCTTATCTAGTCTAGAAGTGTGTGACTGCACTAACCTAAACTTTGTTCAACCTCTCAGGTACAGAAGACTTTCATTATGATTCATATATCATCCTTCCTGACAAGCGGTTGGGTCGGGTTATAGTTAACATTTAGCACTCTGAAGCATCTGTAGGATCGTGACAAATCTAAAAATGCGACGTACTTTTACACCTGTACTGTCACCTTTTCTTGGTAATTGAGAGCAAATCCACTCGTAGAACCAACTAAGCTCAGCTCCTCAGGATTGTGGTCTGTCGGCGCCCACGCAAACGCTTTTAGAGCCTGTGTAGCTGGTTCAGGTCTTCCTCTGTTATAGTACACAACTAACGCTCCATCCACAGACACCAAAATCAGTCTGATTATACAGACAGTAAGCACTGCATGTGTTTATTAGGCAACTATATGTTGAGTTTTACGTCCGTTTAAAGTCTTATTATTCACTCTCAGGTAACATGACTTCCAGAATTTCAAGGCTCCACCTATAGAATAGTGACGTTTGGACACAAGGGGGAGCTCTAACATTGTTCTACAACAGCTTCCTGTCTTTTTTGTCCACCTGCCTCATGAAATAAATGGCAGCCAGTGCTGTGAATTAATTTGGCGATGCTGATTGAACAATCTCACATCACTTCTTATTCTTGGTATTTGCTCCACTGTGCAGACAAATAAACTTGTGTACACGGTTTGGCTGTAACACATCTGTACTTGGAATGACATATTTCTTTTATCTGCTTTGCAGCTGTGTTGTGGGCATTTTATTTCTGGTAATGTCTTCAGAAGTTTGTTGATGACATTTAACATACCGTTACTGAGGTCTTTGCTATGTTTTCCTCTTCTTTTGACAGTCACAGCATTTTCTCCATTCGAATTTTAAGAATTGAGGATATCGGGACTCCGAGGGTCCAAACAGTCAGCGAGTGAGTAAAACTTTCTCTTTTTCTGGCTCCTGGACATACGGGTCAGCTGTAGGTTTGTGAAACGCTGCAGTGAGCTGTGTGTGTGTTGAAGCATCAAGTGTTGAACCTTATCTGTTCCTCGTGTCCTTCATATAGATGAATGCCATGTGTTTGTGTCTCCAGGTTGTGTCTGTGTGACCTGGCTGGATCTGAGCGCTGCGCCAAAACCCAGAATAAAGGCGAGCGTCTGAAAGAAGCCGGAAACATCAACACCTCACTGCTCATTCTGGGGAAATGCATCAACGCACTGCGACACAATCAGCAGGCCAAGTGAGGGCTTTCTTATCCTTATGTCTGTCATTGAGTTTAATGGGTTACTCGTACAAGTTACAGAGCTCCAACACACAGCTCTTAAACGCCTTCAGGTGTTTTAGCCTCCATTTAGCGCACTGTTTTGGTTCACTGTGTGGCTTTATCATGGTGCTCAGGGAAAAAATAAAAGAAAGAAAGCCACTGTACACAGTCAGGTTTGTCCAAGCAGCAGTTAGCCATTAGCTCTGGAGACAATGCTGAACATCTAGTGGTTAGAGATATTCTTCTGAAGAGTTGGTAGAGACCAAACTAAAGGAGAATTAGACACAAGCTGAGCTACAACAGGCTGCTGAAGCCTCCCACTGTATGCTGCATGAATGAGCAACTGCTTCAAAAGACAAACGTATGAAAGCCAGCCGTCCGTTTGTCCGTTTCCTCCCTCAGGCTGCTTCAGCACGTCCCCTTCAGGGAGAGCAAGCTGACCCACTACCTGCAGGGCTTCTTCTGCGGCCGAGGGAAAGCCTGTATGATCGTCAACATCAACCAGTGCGCCTCCATGTACGACGAGACGCTCAACGTCCTCAAGTTCTCTGCTGTGGCACAAAAGGTTCACATGCTTTTATTTCTCTGTTTCACCAGCACATAGACACTCAGAGCTGTTTGTTTGTAATCCTTCATGTTTTGGTGTTTTTTGCAGCCAGACTGAACGTATACTTGTCTGCATGTCGCTGTAGTCCATGTACATTATGTAAAGAGCCAAATGTGTTTCCTCTCGTCTGTTTCCAGGTTGTAGTTCTGTCCTCCAAGCCCCTTCCCGTCATACCACAGAGGTCGGCCGGCGAGGTGTCCTTCATCATCAACAATGCTGAGGGAAAGACTCCTGGGAGCAGCAGGAGGAGCTCCCTGATCGGCTGGGAGAGCAGCCTGGAGGATGTACAGGTGGGACGGAGGGATGAAACCTGATCATAGTTTATACAACATGTCGCTGCTGCCACTACACGAACCTGCGTTGTTTTGTTAAAATGTTCTGTGTAGGAGGATGAGGACGATGAGAGCCTGATGGAGGACACCATGGATCAAACCGACGACGGAAACGACGATAAAATTCTCATCTGTAAGAAGACGCACCAGGTCAGTGCATTTTAATTTAACAGAGTGCTCTTGACGAGGAGGTTGCCACTAAGTGCGTCACTTCAAGCATCAGGGAGGCAAAAATAAGTTTAGGTGGGAAACTGTGTGAAAGCGGTTATGGTACGTCTCCACAGGTTGTTTGGGATGTGAGTGGCCATGCTGCTTCTTAGCACTGGTTGCTTGATGTGCGTTCAGCTTGGTCGTGTTAAAAGAGATTATTAGGTTGTTGTTGAGTCTCCTTCCTGAAACTAATACAGACTACTTCCATCTTCAGCTGTCTGCCTTGGATTTCAAACCAGATCTATACAGCGGTTCATTTGGAAACTTTCTCTGATGTTAGGAAAATATTTCACTGAAAACAACCGCGGTGACGAATAAGCTGCTGAATCTTCATTTTAAATCAGTGTCAGCTCGTTGAAGAGACTTTTTAAGGAGTATCTAGAGATGTCAGTCATGCTGGACACCCTTACTGCATAAATCAGCAGAGACCTCAGCTTAATGCAGTGAGGAGTGGTCAGCGTGCTGCCAGAGTGCATTACAGTAGACAATAAATGGGACGCGTGGCAATGATGGATCATGTAGAGCTGTAGCCTGCATTAGTTATTCAGGACTTATTGAGAAGACACACTGGGTTTTACTAAACTTTCATTAATGACGTCCTTTGTTTTGTGCAGTCTTTCCCCCTCAGTTAGTTTAGACAGATAGTCTGCAGCTGATACGTTTATAAAAAAAATAAATAAATGAATAAATTCTTGTTCTATAATTTTTACACAAGGTTGTGTTTTTGTTTTGTCTAATAATCTTCTCATTGGGGCGGCTGTGGCTCAGGTGGTAGAGCAGGTTCTCCTCCAGTCACAAGGTTGGTGGTTCCATCCCCTCCACAGTTGAAGTGTCCTCGGGCAAGACACTGAACCTGAAGTTGCTCCCAATGGCAGCAGCACCTTGCATGGCAGCTCCACTGGTGTGTGAATGTGTGTGAATGAGAAACACATTGTAAAGCGCTTTGGATGAAAGCGCTGCATAAGTGCAGACCATTTATTTACCTTTTACCATAACAGGATGATCAAACTGTGTGAAAGAGCTTTATGTAGAGAACACATGTTTTCCAGTTGTGTCTAATGACTGTTGGTTGTGTCTGGTTCCTCAGAGGCAGGCGGCTCTTTTCAAACAGCTGCAGGTTCAGCTGAAGAGGGAGCGAGCGGAGAGTGTGCTGATGGAGGCTCGAGTCAGAGAGGAGATCAGCAGAGAGTTCTCAGAGCTTTTCTCTGAGATGCAGAGCGACTTCGAGTGAGACCTGTTTTTGTTCATACGCTTGTCCAGCAAAGCTAAAGCCTCCCGTCATGTCTTCCTGCCTCAGAGTCGTACTGGATGAGTGTTTTTCCTGCTTTTAAATTAGTAGTTTGTGTTTTCTTGCCCAGGTTGCATCACTTGCTATATTTTTAAGTAATGTAAGTGTTCATGTTTTCATTTAGTTTTCCCTGAATTAAATTCAAAATAGTAATATTCAGCTGCACGTAGAAGGAAAAGAGGCGTCTTAGGAAGCATGCAGAGCTTTACGGTCTTATTCCACTCGATGTTTCATAGTCATATGAGTGTGTTTGTCTTTGGATCAGTGACCGCTTGGCGAGGGAGAGGGAAATCTTGGAGGAGCGAGCTGAGAGGAGGCTGGAAATTTTCAAAAATCTGACTGACAAAATGGCCAAAGCTGGACTCAGCCAAGATGCCCAATCCACGGTAACACAGTCCTCCTTTTCCTTGGATCACAAGCCCTGCAATGACTGTAGTGTGTGCTTATTAGGGGATTTTATGTTGTAAATGCTAAAGCGGACTTTAGTTTTGATTTAAATCCTTGGAAGCCCTTTGAACATACGTTGCATCTAAGTTTTTAATATTTCTTTCAGTGAGGTGCGTCACATGTCAGTGAACAGCACAGCTTGACGTTTCCAACAGCGCTGATTGCTTGACTGTGACGATGGGTTGGCAACTAGTGCCGAACAACTTGGGGAAATTAACCAGTTGCAGATATTGCAGTTTGCGGTTTAACTTATTCAGTGTGCAACAGGAAATGCTGCACGAGAGCCGAATATTGTTCTTTGTTCTCATGCAAAGATGAAACTTCATAATAGAAACTGCTTCTAACATCTATTCATATGTTTGTTAAATGCCATAGACACTAGAACGCTTATCCCAAATGCAGAATAGGTAAGTTAGATAAATAAATAAAGTGGTAATAATGCCATGATGTTAATATAGTTTTAGTTTAAATATATTAAATGTCTGCAACATGATGTCCTTACAAATTTCTTGACCCATTTCCATATTGCTGCTTTTTGCCTGAATAGGTCTCAAAGGCCTTTTTGATTCACACAATGTACAGAATATAATAGACAACAAAACCCGTTTTAATCGTACAGGTTCTTTCTCCGGTGTTCATTATATAACAGAGCTAACATTACATCCCACTGTCATGAAACATCAACACACAAAATGTGTTTGCTTCTTATTGCGATGGTGAGATTCATGTAAAAGCTATTTCATAATACAAGATGCTTTTTTCCTCGACATACAGGCTAGTCATACAAATATTGGACAGTCTGGATAGCCTTGGCGGTTCTGAAACAGTCCAGACCAGCGTGTACGATTAGCCCGTACAGCGACCAAGACAGGAGCTTCACAGTGAAACAGCCTGAGGTTCATGGGGTTAATGACTGTAAAACATAAATGAGAGGCTGTATTTGATATGTACCGCAGCGACAAGGTTCAACTCTCACACTTAACACGAGCCCGGCTAGTTTCCAGCAGCAGAGTTGCATTAATTATTGAGCTTGAAATGTCTCTGACCTGCTTCCGCCTACAGCTTCACTAAGAAATTACCACGATTCCTGTTGGAATGGCTTCATTTGCTGTACAAGCAGAGGGAGTTTCAGGGTTCTTACCAGGAGGATTCACGCTGCTACACTTGGACAGACGTGATTGACCTGCCAGGCCTGACTGTGAGGACGTGCTCACTAAATGTCTCTGGTGTCTTCTTCCTCCTGCAGGACAAACTTCTGGACTCCTATTCGTCTGAATTGGCAGGCATGAAGACTTCCACCGAGGCTGCTCATACGTGTGGAGGTTCAGGCCACGCAGGGGCTCCGGCAGATAGAAACGACGCTGTGGAGGAGCTGGAGGTGGACGAACAGCAGCCTCACAAGCACAGTGGTACAAACACATGAATCCGTATCTGAGGAGGAAAATGCAGACTTAGCTGTGCTGGTTCCTGAGAAGTGAATCAGAAACACACAGCAGGAGTTCATGAGTGTTTCCTGTTAGACTCAGCACAGTTCAGCCACAGCATAATTATATCAGACTATGTACTTATAAATTAGAAAGCAATTCCAAAAACAACTGCTCACAGAGAGGCCTGTGGAAAATTAGAGAAACACAAAGGTCTCAAAACAGATCTGTTCTCGTGGTCGTACTGCTGCTGGCATGGAGGAGGTGAACTGTTGTTGTTTTGGTGAGCCAGTCTCACACTATGAAGAATATCTACGACTAAACAGCCTTTTTATTTATGTTGTCGTGTTGTTTTGATGCTCGCATTTTTAACGTATTAAATAGCAGCACGTGTTTCTAAGTCACAAGAGACAGTCGATATCGCTGGACTTTGTTCAAGTCTTCATTGTTTTATTTGCTAGGTGAAGCCAGCCGTGTAGAGGACGAGGAGAAAACCAGGCTCGTCTTGCAGCTCCAGGAGAAGTCGTCGCAGGTTGCCCGGCTGGAGAAACAAGTGGGAGACCTGCAGAAGATGGCCGAGCTCGGCTCACGTGGTCGCTCGGCGCCGGTGGAAGAGAGGAGCTCACGTGAGAAAGAGCAGCTGCAGGTAAGGATCACATAAACAGGAACAGGCGCCCTAAAGGGAAATAGTTTGATGTCCTCAGTATCCTAATTACTCTGGGTGGAGACAAATGTTATGTCAGTGCAAACTGAGCTTAATTAGCATTTTGCAGTTATGGTTTCACGTTGTCAGAGCGTCTGCTCCTTTCTCATGAACGCAAAATCTCTGAAAAGCTTTGAAGGAATTTCTTCACATTTTGAAAGAAATGCTCCCTGAGACTTGCACTGATTGGAACCGTAGCTCAGGTACAGAAGGAGCAACTTCATCGGCTGCTGGCAGCACACAGCTACAGCTACATCCAAAGACAAGTCAGTACCAGAGGAAGTCGAGACTCGTAGATCTGAGTTTGGACAGTGAGTCCTCTACATTAGGAGCTGTCATCTCTGGAGCACGTAACCCACTGAAACCTAATTAATTACATACAGTCTTTCACAGCAAAGGTTAAGGCCTGGCTAAAAGCAAACCAGAGTTGTAGGCATTTTAACTAACTGTAGTCTTTATTTACTGTGTATGTGAAAATTAGCAACACCCATAAACGTCCCTTGCAGCACATCAGCTTCATGCTCCGTACTGGAGCTACGTTAAACCGCATCGTCCTTATCAGATAACATGTATTCATGCTCAACCACAGGGCGATTATTCAGATTTGTTTCTGCAAAGGAGAGTATTTATTTCCAGAAGTTCCCGCTGTCGTGCTACCATAGTTCACTGATGTCAGCGCTAAATCTGTTGGAGGTTAATGTCTGAGTAGAACATGAGCAGCTGCAGGGTGCGATGTACATCTCGTTTTGAGCTCTCACGTATTCATGGGTTCAGGAGGTTAAACCAATGACTTTCTAACCTGCAGGCTGTCGCTGGCTTTCATAGTTTTAGCCCCAGGTGTGTGATAAGGCCAAACATGTATGTCTAATGCTTACTCATAAGCAGGTCGCCTGGGTTAGCATGTGATATTTTACATTTATTTAGAGAGACGTAACACAACATAATAGGATTAATTCACCTCATTATGAATGTTATGCGTTTCCTGTGGCACTAGAACATGACTGTGTTTCTCAAGGGGCAGTCATTTGGCTTTATATTTATATTTTAATTATTTTCGGTGCACGCCACTGAGCCTTACTGAGGTACAACTGACTTTACTACTTGGTCCAGAGACAGAACAGTCTTCATTGATTAAACAGTTGTCACCTGGTGTCACAGAAAGGCAAATCAATACAAACAAGTGCTCCTCAGCAGCTACGAAGCAACTTAAATTACACCAGATTCTAGCAAGAAGTTATGAAATCCTAAAGGTGAGGTGCTGTTTATACATTCAAATAGGAATTGATGGAATTAACCAATGCTCCAATCACCCAGGAGGCTTTGACTGCCCTTCAAAAGGAGAAGAAAGCCCGAGAAGACGCCCTCGCTGCTCTGCAGTACCAGACTATAGGAAAAGAGGAGGCACTGGCGTCCTTGGAGGAGGAGAGGAAAGCAAGGGAGGACGCCATCGCTGCGCTTAGGGAGCTGAAGCAAAGTAAAGAGGAGTTGGTAGCCTCCCTGGAAGAAGAGAGACAAGACAAACAGGGAGCCATGGCAGCACTGGAGGCTGAGAAAAGAGCCAAGGAGGACGCCGTGGCAGCGCTGGCAGAAGAGAAGCGAGGCAGAGAGGAAGCAGTTGCTGCTCTTGGTGACGAGACAAGCGGCAAAGAGGAGGTTCGGTCTGCTCTGGAGGCAGAACGGAAGGAGATTAACCGGCTGGTTGAGGAGAGAGAAGAGAGGCTCCAGGAGAGCGATGGGCTTCGACGAGAACTCAGAGAGCTGAGCGACAAACTGGACGCCGCAGAGCGACAGGTGAGCCGCAGTACCAGTTTTAACCCTTTGGTCATGTTGAGCAGGAGTTTAAATGGAAATCCACAACTCCAAAGAAGAGAGTAACAGCCATGAAAACTGCTAGTTTCTCTTCCAGTGAGTTCTTCAACAATAGATTTTTTTCTCAGAGACTGAACTGAAAATCTTTGATGTTTGACGTTTGTCTGCCATACAGGTGTTTGACATGTCGTGGAATAACATTTCTTTTCGTGCTTTATCAAATATTCTTCGTGGTAAATCTTGTAAAGAAACTTGTGTCAAAATCGCCACAGGTGACCATCGAGACAGAGAACGCTGAACAGGCCTCAGTCCAACTGCAAACTGCTCAGGCTCGACTGGATGAACAGGCCAAGGAGAATGAGGAGAAGTCGACCCACATTCACACCTTGACTGAGGAGGTTCAGAGACTGAAACAGGAGCTGCAGACCTCCGCAGGATCATCTGGTGCCCATGATCAACTCAGAGAGGAAGCATCAGAGCTACTGAAGAGCCTGGATGAGCAAAAAGAGAAAAATGAGAGCAAGCAAAGACGAATTGTGTGGAGCTGGAGAATGAGCTTTCACAGATAAAGCAACAGCTGGCACAGAAGCAGCTGATCTCCGACCAGCAGCTGGAGGAGTTGACTGAGAAACTGCATCAGAAAGAGGCAGCCTCAAAACAGCAAGTTGAAGAGCTCAGAAAGAAGCTTGAGGAACAAGAAGAGACGTCCCAGCAGCCTCTGGAGGAGCTCAGATCCCAGCACCAAGGCCAGCAGCAGGCTGCCAAAGCAGAAATAGAGCAGCTGAAAGCAAAGCTGGAGCAGCAAGCCGAGGCCTCAGAGAAGCAGGTGGAGCAGCTCAACGAGAAGCTGCGAGAACAACAAGTGGTGTCACTACAGCAGCTGGAAGAGCTAAAAAACAAACTGAGTGAAGAAAAAACGGCTTCTGACAAACTCTTAGATGATCTCAAACAGCAGCTCAGTGAACAGCAGAGAACTGCAGAGCTGCTCAAGACTGAACTAGAGGAAGCTCAGCTTAAAGCTACAACCGGTTCCTCTAGTTCTGAGAATGAAGATCTCAAGAGGCTGAACTCTGATCTCCTGACTGAGGTCGCAGCCCTGAAGGCAAAAGTTTCCAACATGGAGGAAACAAAGGAGTCCTCCAGCAAAGCCGAAGCTCAGCTCAAAGAACAGGACACGCAGACGGAGGAGAAGCTGTCCGAGCTGCAGAAAGCATCTGCACAGAAAGAGGCAGAGCTGCAGAAAAAGTTGCTGGAGAAGGAGGCAGAGGTCACGTCCTTGAAGAAGAATCTGCAGGAGGCTGAGGACCGGCGGGAGGAGGAGGAGTGTCAAGCTGTCCAGGAGGCTCGACGCAGGGAGGTGGAGAGACGCAGGGAGCTGCTGGCTGTGGCCCACGAGGCCATCGCTCAGAAGGACGGCGAGCTGGAGAAGAGAGCCGAGGAGATCAGCAGGTAAATGGAATCACATTATTTTCTGCTGACGCACCAGAGTCTGTTGACATTGAGATGATCTTTCTTAAACAGCTGCATTGTACCTCAGCCCAGCATCACTGTCCGTCCCACATTTACAACTTTCTGTGTAACACAACTTTGATTTAGTTCTTCGTCACCCAGACTTTGTTCCCATGTCTGACAGCCCCCCAAATTAAGGCCATCTTCAACAGATTAGGACATTAAGTTTTCATTTTGTCAGGTTTGTATTTGTTTAGTAAGCCACAGTAGATCTTTTAACAGTAGTTGATAGTTTTTATTTCATTCCTCTATGTTGGTTAAAGGTCGCCGTCCTCACCAGGGTTTGAACTCATGCTCAGAGCCGTTACCTGTATTATCTAAAATGTTATGCAGCTTCCAGTAAAGCTGTGCAATTTGGTCGTATTTTATTTTAGGAGATTAAGTTAAGGTTATGTGTAGGCTGTGTCAGAAGGAAGTGATGTGCAGCTACCACACCTGATGTCCAGCAGCGGCACTTGGACATCAACCTGCGATGCACGAATACTGACGCTGGTTTCTGAACTTTATTCAGTGAGCTGTTGTCTGGTGTTGCAGGATGCAAACATTCATATGCGTAGTTCAAAGAGCTGGAACTTTCACGTGCATTTAATAAGCATGCCGTCTTGTTATACTGGAGTTTACAATAGTCTCGGTTTGTCTCTTCTCTATGAGGCTGTGCTCATTTGTCATCGTGAAATGCATTTTCCTTGTGCTATCTTCTTTTTCATTTCTCCTCAAATGTCTGAGTCTCCAGTGAGCGTTGCATTAATCAGACCACTGAGCAGCCATGTTGCTCTGGAGCAGAGGGCAGTTTTCTGTGTTCTAAACAAGGCTTTGCTTTGTTCTCCCAGACTGAAGGAAGACGCCAAGCAGGACTCGGAGAAAGTCAAGAGCCTCAGCCTGGACCTTCAGAGGAAAGAGGACGACTCGTCAGACCTCAGAGAGAAACTGGCTGATTACAAGAAGCAGATCCAGCAGGTCCAGAAGGAGGTACAAGCGTTATTCAGCGTCTGTTCCTCACATCTTATCGGCATCATAATCTACAGCTGCTTTGAGCAGAATATTGAACAGATATTAGCTTCTTACTGATGTATGATGAGAGTGTCTGTATGATGGTTGTAGTTGTCTGATAAAGCCGATCCACTGAATAGTTCAGTGACACTCTGTATGTTCAGGATTTTGTTTAACGCTCATATTTGTCCTTTTTCACTCAGGTTTTATTACTGAATGCATGTTTACGCTTCACTGAGATGTGGTGACACATTCCTTCTCTCCTTTGTCCTTCTGTCTTGCTTTCTTATTATTTAATTTATAACTAGACCCGTGATTAAGCAAATAGAACCAGGGTTAGCTGAAATCATGTCTGTTCTAAAGGAAGGATTTGCTGTGATCTAGATGAGCTCAGGATCTCACAGTACACTTATACTTTAGCCTTATGAGCCTAAATGAATTAGAAACAAACAGACAAAGCTAGTATTTGCAGCACATGTAAGTCATTTTAACCTGGTTGTTTTGACAACTTTGAAGCAGAACAGCGTTGCCCTACCCATATTGATGATTTCTGAGAATGTACCAGCTGGTGATCACAGAGGATGTAACTCAGACGAGTCAGGATAGCGTTTCTAGATGATCCGCCATGTTGGTTGTTGAGCTGTGATACACAAAGCGCTGCTGAACAAAGTGCAGCAAACCGACGACTGCTTTGACACGATGTCCGTTAATTTAGAGCTACGCTGAAGTGACCTTCCAGCGTTGTGAAAGCAGGAGGTGTTCACAGGCTGTGTAGTCAGGTTAATGCTGGAGCACTGTGATGCAGTGCCTCACTCCTTCAGAACACATCACCAGGTACAGTCCGACCACAGACAGCTCGATCAGAGCATATCGGCCAACTGGACACTGCAGCCTGAATAAACAACCTGACAGCTAGCTTGAACTTGTGCTTACAACTTTTCTGGGTTTTTTCCCGACAGATTTCGGCCATGAGAGACGAGGAAAAATCTTTGAAGCAGAAGCTGGCAGATGCAGAAAAAGCTAAGAAGCAGCTTCAGTCCGACCTCACCAACAGAGACAGGACCATCCAGCAGCTCAGAGTGGTAGGATGATCCCATTTTCACGTTTACATTCGCCAGATCTCTGGTGGCTTTAGCTCTGTTAGCGCTTCTCCTGTTTGTATACCAGTAAGACATCCAACAGCTATCCCTCAGACTTGTTGAAGTGTTTGTTTAGTTTGTGTTCCTGTTCATCTACTCCATTCCTCCTCCCTTTAGGAACAATCATCCAACACTAAGTCCAATGAGACTCTTCAGCTCTACCAGAAGGCCTGTAAAGGTAAAGCTTCTACTCTGTTGTCTTTCTCTAGAGAAAGAAAACTCTTTGTGCTATGTTGTGAAGAGAGTTCTGCTTTTACTGTCTTTTGTTTTACTTCAGCTAATGCGTGTGTGTAGTTATTTAGCCTTTATTTTGTCTAAAAGAATGAAAGAAAAACCACAAAAATATCATCACACGTTCCCAGAGTCCCAAGATGACGTCTTCACATTGGTTCTGACCGGCGGATAGAAACCAAAGCGTAGGAATTCACCTCTGAATTTAAGCCACATTTGTCTATTCAGTAGTATTCAATAGTCTATTCAACATGTCGCTGAATGACTATTATTGGATGCAAACTGAACTTCACAGGTCCTTAAAATCCTGGACCTGTTTGTAGAGCAGCAGGGAAAAGGGAACCATGAGCCGTGTGGAGGCTGCATGTAAACCTGTACCTGTGTTTGTGGATGTCTGGGTGTGTTTTTGGTAAACAGACCTTGAAGCCAAGCAGCGTGTGATGGAGGACATGCGTTTGGCTCTGACGGAGCAGGAGGAGACGCAGGAGCAGATGGAGCAGGTCCTGGAGGAGAAGCTTAACCTCATCCAGGAGCTGTCCAGCGGTAAGAAACAGCCGATCTGAAATGTCAAATGACCGAATGTGAAAAGCAAACAAAGAATGATTCTTTAGTTGTGAATAAAAAGCAGTGTGGCGTATGGACAGCTTAGTCTAATCCTGTTATCCCCACAAACAGAGAGAAAACAGGACTGTTGATAGAACTTCATTAAAACTGAGGCTGAAGTGAACTTACACATCTAAATGCAGACCAGACATTAAATATGTTTGTCTGACCTTTATTATATTGTACAAAAGCAGAAAAATGGAAAACAACTGAGAAGCTTCCTGAAAAAGCCTGGCCAGTTGCTTCCAGTACGACTGGACTCTCTGCACACATTTACTGTTTCTAGTTTAGATGTCGGACTATTGCGACAGTTTAATGAACCTAAAGCAAACCTTTCCTTATTCATGAACTTTTAGATTAAACTACAGCTTGCAAGGGTTAAAGTATTAAAAGAGAAATGTGTACTTCAGGTATAAGAGCGTCACTTTGATTTAATAGTGAATAGAAAGTTATATGAAGCTACACTTGAAGTAATTATCGTCTGTGGATGTTGTGTTTGTCGTTCCTGTTGTGAAACTGGCGTCTTCAGTGTCTTCTCTGTGGTTTGAACCGTTTCAGAGGTGGAGACATTGAAGGGGACGCTGCTGAAGCAGGACCGTGGAGGCGAAGCGCCCCATCGGGTGGAGAACCCATCAGATGACCTCAGGCTGGCTCAGGAGGAAGCTGCTCGAGCTCAGGACAGCTTGAAGGTAATGAGGTTATTTCCAAATGTTATGAGAGATGGCAGGACCAGAACTGTGTGCTCTCAGATGGATTTTAAGTGGTGGACGCAGTAAAACGATGGCTTGCCCACAGGAGAGTGATGATGAGGATGATGATTAGATAAATGTGGGTGGTTTGCTGGTAGTTTGTGAAGTTTTGCAGTTTTGCACAGAGCTGGTGAAACTGTGTTTATCAGTGTATGAATACAACAGTCCTGAGCTGGCTGCCTCTGAAGACTGTTTCTCTTCTGATTAGTCGATTATTCTCAGTGATTATCTTCCTTGACAAACCAAACTAACCATTTAGTTTACGGTGGTTGTATTCTTGAAGCTTCATGAGTGTGTGAGGCAGCTGCACAGGTGATGCTAATGAACAAAGTAAGGTGGTGTGTGTGGTTTTTCTTCAGGATCAGGCTGATGCTGCTCTGGTCTGTCCTCAAAGCTTTGAAAAGTACACGCTTGTTTTTGTCATCATTTCAAACAGCTTTGGGTTTTTAGAAACTTTTCCACTGAAGTCGGACTGAGCTGCTAGTTCCTAAAAGCGCAGCGCTGAGCGATGTTAGAATGATTTGAAGCTCTTTAGAAGAAACTGATATTGATGATGAAATATTCTGACTGATCCTGAGCGCGTAGATGATCGATGTGTTGGTGGTCTTTGGTGCTTATAAGACTGATGTCAGATCAGAGCAGCTTCTTCAGTTTGACTTTGTAGGTTTCCGCCCTTCTTGCTGATTTGAGATTCATTAGGATACTAATTCCAAATGCAGACGTCCATCAGACATCTCTACAGTGCTCCTACTAACAGCAAACATTTCATCTGTAGTCGTGTACAGACAAACACCAGGCGGAGCGCAGAAAGTGGCTGGAGGAGAAGCTGTCCCTGATCGGCCAAGCTAAAGAGGCAGAAGACAAGAGGAACCAGGAGATGAGGAAGTTTGCCGAAGACAGAGAGCGCTACACCCGACAGCACGGCCAGCTGGTAAGAGGAGGATGGTTTCCAGGCTGAGCGCTCGCTGAAGCACGTAAACATGTCAACGTGTTGGCGTTCATCTCACAGCAGAGCAGATGCACCTGCAGTGAAACAACGTCCAGCTTAAAGTGATGAGAGCTGGTCCAAACCTGACAGCGAGCCTGACACACTGACATGTTCACAACACAAGATCACGCCTCTTGATTTGGCTCACATCATCATCATCATCATCATTACAGGAGCTGTCTCATTTTATTATCTGTCTATAACCGTTATGTATTCGTTCCTCACTCTGACCCACACTTATGCCACCAAATCTGTATTTTCTCTCATATATTTTGCCTTTTTTTTCCTCATCAGGAGTCCCAGCTGACTGACAAGGAGCAGACCATGCAGAAGTGGAGGAAGGAGAGAGACGCTCTGGTGGCAGCTCTGGAGGTCCAGCTGCAGAAGCTGCTGTCGAGCCAAGCAGAGAAAGACAAACTCATCCAGCAGCTTCGGCAGAATGACACACAGACGCCACAAGAGGTCAGTGCAGCATCGGGCAGGTACCAGACCCGGGAGCCTCTCACTGAAGACGTACGCTGTCAAAACCGGCTGCTTTTTACATCACAGGGTCTGATGTGGGGGTAATGTCTCACTGTTAGATCTGCTGTGGTAAAGGGAAGCTGCTGCTGATGAGGTGGCAAAGAAAGATTAAAGAAGGTGGTTTAAGACACGAGTGACATTTCAGCAAACTGATGTCCAAATGTGTGTTTATATTAGAGTCTCACAGACAGTCAGACAACATCCCTCTGCCGGGTCTTAGCCTGAATATTTAACTTAGGCACATTTGTGTTTTATATCATTTTGTCAGGTTTTAACTGTAATATTTATATTGCTCAGGCAAATTCCCATCATAAATAATACTTTGGGGTTTTAACCTTAATATTTAAGCTTGTTGGATGAATGAGTAATGCTGGTCTTCTCCACTGGAAAGCACTTTGGCTCAATAGCTGCTGTTTTAAATGTGCTGCATGAATACTGCTGACTGGTCTGTGGAGGCTTTTAATGAACTGGTCAAACTTCAGCAACAAAAAGTAAATTAAAAGAAAAAAAAAAAAAAGTCCTGCTGCATTTCACCACCTGTGAAAACACCTGCTTGGACATTATAGATCAGGGTTTAGTTTAATTTGCTTGGAGTTTGGAACTAGAAAGCACTGGATCAACAGTTTTCTGCTCCACTATAGCCAGGGTTTATTGCTTTTAAGAAAGATTTATTGGGTGAGCAGAACTTTAAAGCTGTGAAGAGACTGAGGAACATCTGGCTGCAGAGGAAGGCAGAAAGGGGCAAAATTCAACAGAAAAAGACTTGAAGATGAGACTTATTTGTGGTTATTCTCTCTGGTGGTTTGTCACACATGTCCAGCTTGACAGACTTTGAATCACAGGTTTGACGAGTTCCACCTTTTTTCCACCTGAAGTTGTCGATGGATCAGCATCGTGAACTACATCTCTGCTTTGCTGCTTGCTCTCACACATCTGGTCCCCGCTGAGCTTCTGTGTGGCTTCTACAGTTACATAATTAATTCAGATTGTGACCAGACAGCCTCCCCAGGATCACCACAAAACACACAGTGTGAAGGGCGCGAGGCTGCAGCGAGTCACCAAATCAAATTGATGCAGAGCAGCATTGATTTCTAAATCTGTAACAGGCAGAAATGTGGGGGGAGAGCTGCAGGTGATTTAATGCGGCCGTCTCTTTATGGGAGAAGCACTAATGATAGGAAGGGAACTGGATAAGTGTGACGGAGAGCAGGAGCCTTCCACAGCAGGGAGATATCCACGCTGCAGCGCTAATCAGACACGGAGAGCTGAAAGTGTTGTTCTGAAATGTCGTTTCCTTTTTATGATTGTAAACAAATGCGCTGTCATGGTCTTACGAAGGAGCAGTTTTCATACTCAGTAATGTTCAGGTTTTGGACAGAAGCATAAACAAAACAAGTAGTAGCGTGTAATAAACTCCAGAACAACAGAGTTAGCTTTAGTGTCTCTTCCTCCTTTAAATGGAGAAGCAGAATATTAGAAATGCTCTTTAATTTAATGCGGTCCAGCACAGGAACAGCAGTAACTTGATGCTGAAAGGTGGACATCAGGTCAGCTCTAGGACCTAAAACAACCATGACATGGTTTACTGTGTGGCATCAGATTGTTGACTCAGTTAAGTCACAGGAGACCAGCATGCATTGTGCCATGAAAAAGCAGGTGTTCTGACTGCTTTTCCACATCTGTAGGAGGGTTGTTCACATATCTATTATTAATCTCAGTCATGGGGACTAAAAACAACAACAAACATTCAGCTTCCTGTGTCTCATATTCGAGCGTTCAAAAGCAGCGTGAAAGACAAATATTAGACCCTCAGCATCAGTTATTAAACTCATCTTTGCAGCTCTATTGGCCATAAAATCACTCCAGCACTGCTTGTGTTTGTTGTTTTAAGGGTGTGATGAAGGTTGGGAAGCTCAGTGATGGAGTTTTACATTAACTGTAGATTATTTTGTACATTTGACTGGACGAATGAGTCGTACCTGTACACAGCAGCTTCAGGTCTGAATATGAAGGTATGATCAGTGTGTGGATCTTAAGGCTGTGATATGTTGGATGCATGTAAAGGGTTGAAGGTGTTTACCGTAATGTCCAGATGATTGAGCACCTGAATATCAGCCCCGCCCACTGACTTTAAACAGGAAACCAGGTGTGTTCATATCCAGGCTGCACTAAGCTGCAGGTGTCCACGTTGAGATATTTACACAGGAAGATGTTTTAACCTTTAATTAAATGCGTAGCGGTAACATACACAGATACGTAGCGTAGAGGCTTTTTTCTGAACACTTCCTGTAACACGGCTGGTTAAGGAAATAAAACTCCAGCAGCTACCAGGAAAAGTCACTGATGGCTATCTTCATCTTCCTCCTGCACTAAAACCACTAAAGTCGTCTTCTTCAGTGTCTTCAGGAGCTGAACAGCCTCAGAATCACTTCATCACTTCCTCAGTCTCTCTGTTGTCGTCGCTCTCAGCCTCACTTTGGTCTCTGACGCAAAATCATAAAAACCCATAAATTAGCCGCATCGTTGTTTAAGCCGCAGCGTTCAAAGCGTGTGAAGGAAGTAGGAGCTTCTAGTCCAGACATTACGTTAAATCTCGTTTTTTGTATTAATGGTTCATAGCTCTAGATGACAGCATGACGTTGGAGGCGACAGACATCCTCAGCGTCCACTAACGTCTTGTTACAGGCTGCTGGTGGTGGTGGAGGAGGACCTGGAGGACCTGGAGGACCTGGAGGACCCGGCCTGGTGGAGCTGCAGGCTGCTCTGTCTGAGAGGGAGGCTGAGATCCTGCGACTGAAGGAAGAGCTTCAGGCCTCGGTGGCCAAACAGCAGGACACCATCACACAGGTCAGTCTGGAGGTTATCTATCAGGATGGTAACGCTTCCTACTTTTCCTATGAATCTGTCATAACGGGGACATAAACCAGTCCCGCGTTGAGGTGGGTTTCTCTAAATGTCAGAAACAAACAGAATTTAAATGAAGTCTCACAATACGCAGCGTCTGTAGTCATCTGGTATTGAAGCTAAAGGTTCCTGTGGTGCGCGCCAGGCAGCCGTGTCACTGTTCTGTGTTTATATTTACATGTTTTATGACTGATGTTCAGGTCGGGAGTGAAAAGGTCAGAGCACACATGACAGAGATAAGGACATGGGGGTCCATGTTAGTCTTTGTCCAGCACTCGGCCTTGAATCCGGGCTTGTTTCTTCAGGAATCGTCTGTGAGGTTGAATTACGCAGCGGGATTGTAGATGGAATAAACGTGAGAAACAGACTTCATGGATTGGATTCAAATCACAAACATGTGCCCCTGAAAACACCAGCTGCTCCTTTGACTTTATTTATTCATAGGCGGTCCTCAGGTGTCCTCAGGTGTGGACAGACCCAGACCATAATAACTTCTTATTTTGAAATCGAGTGATTCTCAAAGGATTGCTTGTTTTTTGCTGAACGCTGGTGTGGCTAGCCTTAACCGTTCTGTGTTGTGGATTTGACAACATCTGCCTGAGAGATCGCCACCAGAGTCAGAGGAGGCATTTTGTAGTTTATCAGTCTGAACTGTGTCCACACGTCTTTGGATTTTGACTTTCTTATTTTGCCCGAGACAGACTGAAAACAGCGAGAGCTCTGCTACGCTGGCCGGGAAACCTGACGGTGAAACCATCAACAGGAAGTCAGGAAGGAGGGATGCCAGAGCGTCGGTCAGCAGCCAGGTAAGCTCATGAGAGGACACGAGCATAGAAAAGACAGCTTTGTAGTTTACTTCATACATGCTGGAAGTCCCAGTGAGCTCGGAGCTGATCGGACCGGAACATCCTTCAGAAAACACTGCAGATCCTCTTCCTTCCTCCGAGCTCCAACAGCATCAGTGTGTTTCAAGCAGAGAGTTTGCTGGATGTGAAACGCCGCGTCACACCCGTAGACGTATATAAAAGACGGACGTGGCCTCCAGGGCTGAGAAGGGCAGAAAACATACAGGTGTCCTTCACATGCTGTCTTCAGGGTGAAGTCAGGTTGTTTGGACGTCTGTGAGAAAGTGACTCTAATCTCAGAGGCTGGCATCTTTTTTTCACATTTTATCTCCCCCATAATCAGAGATTATTTGATCTACTTGTCCAGTCTTGCATGAATCAGTGAATGATGAGAAATAACAGTGAACATTTCAGGCTTCTATCTGTTGTGGTTTCTGAGATATTGCTGTTAAAACAAACCTTTAAAAAAAACGTGCTGAAAGTGTTTTTTTTACGAAAGAGTTATCTTGGAAAGTATTTGATATATCAAGCTACAGGTTCACAAATACCTTTATAAATAACTATTTAATGCTGGGAGGTTAGAGCTGGTTGAGCAGAAGTTGTTCTACAATGTGAAGCCTGTTGCACTGCACAAGTCGAGACCTTTTTAGTATCAACTAAATATTATTATTATATAGTTTTTTGTTGTTGGTTTTTTAACACTATGTAATAAATCCTATGTTACGTATTTTTTATAGGCAATATTTTAATTAATTTTTTTAAAACTTAGATTTACAAGACACACGCATTTTGCCAGTAATAAAGTCGTGACTGGATAACCCGACACTAAATGTAAAACCTTCTTCTATGTCAGATATCAAGGCTGTCGGATTGTCCAGACGGAGGTCCAGATACGAGGAGGGCTTGATGCTGAAAGGCTCATTAGTTGTTCATTATTATTCATAGTTGTTATAATAACTAGTGTATTGTTAGAACACTACACATCGCTGGATACTGACCGGTGCTATTGTGCACGTTGTGGACACTTCCACCCCGGGGCAGCGCTCTGACGGGGTGGAAGTGTCCAGAACACACAGGCAGTACTTGGCTGCTGATGCTAGTTTAGTTAGCGCTCACACTTCTGTTTCCTCCATCGGTGGCGGCGGGGGAGTGGCAGATACGCTCCACCGTTACCATCCATGTTTACTTCCATAAACACTGAGCACGCTCGCTGCGTGTGACGTCGTCGTGTCCTCTTCTGCGCATGCGAGACACTTTTGGCTCGTATGAAGTTCACACAGCAGATCACATACAAGTCGCATTGAAGTGGAAACGTGAAGGAAGTCACAAAGAAATCCTCATTGAGCATCAAGTCCTGCAGTGTGAACGTAGCCAATCTGTGGGATTGTTCAGTCAGATAATACGCCGTCATCCTGATTGGTGACATTAAATGTCATGTCGGAGTCACAATCCAAGGCTGTCGCTATGTTAAGGCTGTTTTTATGGGTTCTGGTGGTTTTTCCTACAAACCTGTCAGATAGCAGGTTTAGGATTGTTAAGGGTCGATTATCGAGTCACGACTGTAGTTACTTGCTGGATCTGAAACCTTAGTCACACCCATAGACGGTGTGTAAAAGCCTCCAGGTCTGAAACGTGAAGCCAACATGGAACTGCCTCAAACATGTTTTATTTTAAACAGAGAACAGGGGGTTGCAAAAATAATTATGTCTGGAAACTTGTGAGAAAATGTCTGCAATAGTAAAGGTTTTCCTTTTAAGTTTATGGTCTCGGCTCACTAGTTTCTAGTCTTGTCATGACAGCATGATGCTAATTCCATACGTTGTGAGCCCATACAGAGTAAAACAGAGCAGGCATGGTCGCCTTGCTGTTGAACGGTCTGTGTCAGCGTGCACGGCGTCCTCAGGTACTCTGTACGTCCAATTTCAACAGAACAAGAAGGCGACGACACAATTCCAAGGTCAAGGCTTTAAAATAATAGTTCACGAGCCAGTAGGTGACGTCCTGTTGGCTGTGTCCATCTTTTCTATCCAGTCTGTGGTCATGTCTTTCCAGCGATGACTAAAGAAGAGCTGAGGTTGGACCTTTTGGCGCTGTCCCATCCTAATAGTCTGACATGTTCCTGTCATGCGCTGGTGGGTCGGATATGAGGTGTATCTGCATCTGGAACTTTGTTATTAACTTGTCTTTTTGTTGTTTTTACTTTGCCTGGGTGTTTGTGTGCAGTTTGTTCTGAATGGAGGGATTCTGGTTGCCCTTCCAGAGGGTTTAGCCAAAGCTCAGTCACAGCTGAACTGAGAATTAACAACAAAGGAAGAAAAAATTAACCAATTTTCTTAATTAAAGTTTATTCCTTCAGGCAAAGTCTGGGTTTTTGTTTGTTAAATGGTCAGAAATAACAGTACATGCACAGACCTGTGTCACACAGACTCGCTGGCTTTCCTGTGCGTGCAGTGATCATGTTTATTGTCATGCGTAGTCGCCCCCATAAGGTCCATTCTGAGCCAGGGAAGCCTCCTGTGTGTCGTCATGTCAGAAACGTGATCCTCCTGGAGCAACAAACTACCGTAGAGGCTGTCTGGTGATGTTTATGTCTGTCTGGATGCCAGCACATCCTGTCAGCCTGATGGAGATGCAGCTGTGCCACATGCAGTCATGAAACTTTACAGGTGTGTTGTTGAGAGCAACATGAAGTCTGACTGTGACGCTGGAGCACTGAGCGCTCATAGAGGACGGTAGTTATGAGCGCTGAGGGGTGGTGGGTTGGAACATCAACAGGTTGATGGGTGTTGGGGCTGCTATGAGCCCCTCACAGTTTGTTTTAAGTATTATTATTATTGTTTTTTTAGACCCCATGCAGTAACTGCAGTCCCTTTGTCTTGTTCCCTGTCGCCCAGTGTAGACACTGGAGGCACGTATGCAGCTGTAAAGTCAGTGTGGGTTCATTTATCAGTGATCATAAGTGCAGTAACGAGAACCTCATGTTGGTGTGGCTACTCTTCACCTTTCAAAGAGCTCAGATTGTGACTTTCCTCTTGCAAAAGCACATCTTGGAAACCTCCCCACAGTTCTCTCTGCGTGAGCCATGCCATCTGTTGCATTCCTGCTCTTTGTTCTTGTGGCGGTTGATCATGCTGTATGGCTCTGGCCATATGTTTGGGCTCGTTGTGATGCTGCAGAACGATCACACGCCTCCCTCATGGTATTGTGCGATGCATATGAAATGGCCTGTAGAAGACCAATTATTCTGATGAGAATCTGCACCATGCTCACTGTTGCCTGTAGCACTCCTCAGCCTTAGGGCAAAAAAGCTGCTCTCTGCTAGTGCCAGATATTTACAGTTCTGACTCATCACTCCAGAGCACCTGCTGCCACAGTAGATGGTTGCACCAGCAGCCCACTGGTTTCTGCCAATTTCGAGATGATGGCACTGTTGGACATCTTCCAATTTATAAGAAGCGTCAGCTAGACGTGTCTTTTTCCTGCTGCACTCGGCCCACCGCAGCACTCCCAGGCTGCAGAATCTCCGCCTGAAGTGGTTCGTCAAACGCTTACTTTCCTTAACAACACACAGAGATCTCACCGGAATAGTTCACCGTTTCAAAAGGAAGTAATTTAGGTTTGAAAAGCTAAGATATGCTTCATATCTGAGACTCATGCAGAATATATAAATAGTGGTTTGAGTCAACCGTTGCAGGGAAACTTTCTGCACAGTTTTGGGAATGCCTTTGAAGAGAAACTGTGACGGTGTGTGCCATGTGGTCAACAGGCTCCTCAGCCAGTGTGCTGCCATGTATTGACCCTGGAAGGTCAACATAGATGAACTGAACAGCTCTACATGCACTTATTCCATCTCAGATCGGCCATGTGGTCGACCGTCTCTGATGTGCTTGAACCTTTTGTTTTATCATAAACTCTGGGTATTTAGGATATCTACTAAATGTAGCTTGATGTTTCAAGTACTCTGCAAGACAATAAATAAAATCATAAATGTGTCTACGACCCACATTCAGCACGTTGTCGCACGCTGATGATGGGCCTTTCCATGATGGCTTTCATTTTATTTTTATTCATATTTTAGCTCCCTATAATCAGTTATTTAACTACTTGTTTAATATTCTAGATTCTGAAACCATAATGCGATGAGGATCATCACTGTAAAAGTCAGGCTGTTGTCTTTAATGCTCTCTGACATGTTGGTGTTCATATATAAACGTGTAAATCCGTGTTGTACATATACCTACGTGGGCTCTTTGTTTCTTGCATTGTGCCTTGTTTTTGTGTCTGCAAGCCAGACCAGCACACGCTTTGCTGCACACGGTACCATGTACATGTATGTCCCATATAAACCTGATCTGATTTGACAGCCTCAAATAAAGCCAGACAGCACAGGCTGAAAGTGGATCAATAGGCATTTTTTAAAATAAAAGATTTATCTCCAAAAGTATTTGCTAAAAAAAAGGCTAATATTTCTCAGTTATCTGTATGAATGTTCACATTTGATGCTCTACCTTGTTCAGGCACATCAGATGGTTGAGCAGAGATGGTTCTACAGTGTGAAGCCTGTCAACAAGTCCAGACGTCTCCAGTACCGACTAAATGTCACCACAATGCTTGTTTTTTTACTTTTTTTTTGCATTAAATTCCAAATGATGTATGTTTTAGATGTGTTTCCATACAAGGTTTATTGAATGTAAATGTTGTTTTCCGGTGGGTGATAGCTGTGCGTTTGTCAGCCTGAGCCTTGGTGGGATGCCGTCCTGCTCAGCAGCAGCTTGACAGGTGTGAACGCTGCTGTCGTGACTTTTATAGGTCCAGGCAGACCAACCTTTATCCCCACACACATTCCTCCCCTGAGTGACAGTAAAATAACCCCTAACCTTCATATCATGTGTGCTCCCACAGGGCTCCGCTGGCTATCCGTCGGTGCTGGACTCCTCTGAGATTTCCACAGAGAACGGCAGAACCAGCCGGTTCCCTCGGCCGGAGCTGGAGATCTCCTTCAGCCCTCTGCAGCCGAACCGCGTGGCTCTGCGGCGGCAGGGAGAGGAGAGCGCCGTCACCGTCAAACTCACCCGCTCGGCTCGCAAGAGGAAGAGCAGCGAGATGGAGAAGGTAGGAAATAACAAGCAGCTTCTCAACACAGGTCCAACCAGAGTCAACACAAGTTAAGACGCACCTGAAGTTTTAATGAGCAGATTCATAACTGCGGTGGTGAAGTCCTAATCATGTAAACATTGTCATATCCTCTGCCCTTTCTGTGTCCAACTACAACAACGGTGCACATGAAACATCCCACTGAGGGAAACCACATTTGTACACAATGTTCCCTTCTAGGTTTCCCAAAAATACATCTTCCCTGGATATCTGAAAAACCAGCAGCCACTGTGCAGTGCAGCAGCAGATGAGATGGGCTTTTTCAATTATTCTCTGGGATTCTCTGGGATGATAGTTTTTCATTTTTCACCCATGTTCTGTGGAGAAAATGTCACCGTGAAAGTCTTCTCTCTGCCATCAATCCAGCGCTGGCAGTGCAGGATTGTGCTAACGGTCACTTCCTGGAAATGAACAACAGCACTTGTGATGACAGTGTTGAATGTGTTGCTCGTACGCCAGTAAATAGGAAACTCCAGCAGCTGTGATGTGTGTGAACTAGTTCCAGAAACAAAAGTGAAACACAGGCTGCAGGCTCTTAGAATGTATTGTTGTTTAAAGCTGGAGAACAACTGTGGGGTAGCATTTGCTCAGCGACGTGTTCATCCAATGTTTCAGTCACCACAGCCAATTTAGAGCCTCCGTTGTCTCCTCGCTGCTCCGCTGGATGCTGGAGAGGTTGGTGATGAGGATGTTTTTGTTTTAATGTTTCTGTGGTCGCACTAATCCGTGCTGTAACTTGGCTTGCAGAGTAACACAGATGCTTTTGGCTATAATCAAATGCGCTCTTGTCATTTGTTGATGCAGCTTAGCGAGGGATTATAATAACTTGTTTTGATGCAACAGATCTCCCCACAAATACAAACACAGTCACAGTTCTGTGGTGCAGGATGTACGCTCAGTTCAACAAAACAGCACCGCAACATGCACTCATTAGACAAATATTCACAAATAGCTGATTAGTTACACAAGATATCCTCTATTGACAAGATTTATCCAGCTTGTTTTTTAGAACTGAAGAAGCTGCATCCTCGCTTGTGAAGAAACACTTTATTGGGAATAATTTTCAGGCGTTCCCTCTTAAATCATCCCTACTGTTATTCTGACTGTGGATGATTGTCTCAGCGGTGGTATTATATATTCTGTGGAGCAGCTTGTAGGCCTCCGTTATGTCTCCTGTGTACTAAAGCAGGTAATTATAATCATTTTAACCTCTCAGGCCTGACGTTAGCTTAGGAGCTGGTCTCTGAACCTTCTCAGTTTTTTCTTCATAAAGACAGCAGACTGACAAATCAGCATGAGACCTCACTGAGGATTCACATAACGGGAGAAAATGTGGAAGAGTAATGGGTAGAAGTGTTTCTGTAGGACTTCACCACCACAAAGTAGAGGACATATACAGTGGAAAGCGTACAGTTTTGGCGAGTGCACAAGCACGTAAAAGGTGAAGAAACGTTTCTGTGTGCGTCTCGTATCCTTTGTCCACACCATCCTCACCACGAGCGTTACGGAACAGCCAGAAGCTCAGCGAATGGGGATCGCATACTGTGTGGGCCAAGTGTGACTAGTACAAGTAACAAGGTCAGCGAGCCAATCCCATCTGTGCCATTTGGAAAAGGATTAGAGTTCTCATCCTGCGAACTGGAATTCTGCGGACGCTCTGTGAAACCAATTGCAAGTCACACATTGTCTTGGAGAGCAGAACATATCAAAGGGGCTTCTGAGAGCCGACCAGACTGAGACTGGTGTAGAAGCAGTGAAGCAGCGCTGGAGGGTGAACGGGGTGAGGGTTGTTCTCAGGTCACCGTCTCGCTGGAATTTGATTTAATGCAGCCGAGGAGCCGCGCTCATGTTAATTTGTTGGTTTGGACTAATGCTAGGGAAGTAGGCTAATGCCTCTGCTGCTTTTGGCTCCCGCAGGCATGTGACACATGTGAATCCTAATGAGAGCATGTCATGCCTCCGCTCAGAGACACATGCAGCGTATCAGAGGAACCCTGTAACGTATACGTGTGGAAACGTGTGCCAGTAACGAGAAGGGACAAGCACACACGCATGCTTTATGGATGTGTTGCACAATGCATATTTCACATGTAGTATATTTGAAGTTAAACAGACACTCCTGCAATTTCTAAAAAAATACAGTAAATATATTAGGATTATATTTTTATTTTTTATGTCAGGCAGGTCTGGGCGGTAGAGCTAAAAAGTTTCACAATAAAATGTTTCCTGTCAGTTTAGAACTTTCAATGACATATATTTATTTGCTGTAGCTGTCATTTCATCGGCCAGGCCTAGTGTCACTAGTGTCATGTCAACACCACAAGTTCATCTGCAGCAAATCCCGAAAGCAGCACATGTGTTTGTTGCATATCTTTAAAAATTAATGCTAAAATAAATGTAAAATTCACACAATCATCATTACAGACCTGTAAGTCTGCAGCAAAATGTGTAGATGATTGATAGAGCATAACTAGAACTCAGGGAAGATGTTAGTATAACTATGATCTAATCCATATTGCCTTAACTAAAATTAACCCCTCAAAATTGAGAAGCCATTCAAATTTTAGAATATTTGAGCACCAGAATATTTCCAGTTTCATGTAAAGTTGACTCTGAATCCTTTGTAAATTAAATATAATATAGAACCGTGTCTGTTTTGTTTTTTGTTTTTTTTGAGAGGAAGAAAACTAATCCTAATTGTGCAACTAAATATGTTCAGCCTCTAAATAAACAAAATAAAACATCTCAATCAAGCCCACATGTGGAATATGTTCCATATAAATAGACAGAATGCGCCTAGCTTCACTTTGACAGGATGTTTTTGAACTATTATTGTGGGAAAGCCAATTTTAAGTGGCGCTAACATCATACAAAGAGATATTCGTGTAGACGTTAATCATGCAGTATAGCTGGTAAAGAGACGAGCATGTAGCCGCCACATATGGGCCTCATTAATCATAAATAGCACATAGAAACATGTAGTCCTGCTTTATTGATGGTGCACACATACAGAAGCCCTGAGAACACATTACACCAGCGTCCCATGTGCAGGTGAACAAGGCCGAGAGCAGTTCACTCGTCACCTGGTGTTCCTCTGGTCGTAACTTGTACGTCTCTGTTTCAGAAACCACTCCCTTCTCTGCTTATCCTTCTCTCTTATTAGCAAAAACATTTAAAGACTCAGCATTTGAGGAAATGCCAAAACTAAGACTTGTCTTCGTAGATGTAAAGTAAAAGAGAACACACTTGACACTGTATTTAATGTCCTCATTTCTTGTCATTGATTCTTGTTATTGGCTTTTTTGAATCTGGAAAGTTCACTTTTTTACACATATGTTTGGTCATTTATCTCTCTGTAGATGCTGCCTCTTTAGTTTGGAAACTGCAAATGATTCGTTTTTTTCCCCGTGTTATCGTTCCAAATGTACCCATAGATATATATATATATATACATATATCAGAATTGACATTCTTGGCAGCGTGTTTCTTTAGTAAACACTGAATAGGTCTTATTTCCACACAGTCCCAAGTGGCGGGGTGCTTTGGAGGTGCTGATGTGTTGTGAGTGCTGAGGCATGAGAACACCTTCTGCCCGTAACTCATACCTGCACGTGCTCAGTGTTTTAAATTCACAACCGACAAAACTACTTTAAAAGCAGCCGCGATACGACCAATCACTGAAGTAACCAATTTAGCGCATGGCAAAGCAGAATAAAGGAAATGATGATATAAAGATAACATGTAAAGGACAAACAAAGGAGTCCTGGTGGAGACGAGCGCTGCAGCTTTGACTTGAGAAAGGCTCCGATCCACAGTCCGGGCCGGCTCGCTTCATGTGTCCTGAATGCCCAGTCAGACTGCCAACGAGGTTCTGATGAGCAGATTTTGTTCTCTGGTGATTTCGGCGACACAGGAAGTGCTGGAGACACACGAGTGTCTTTGAGTGACGTTTCTGAGGCGGAGCAGCTGGTTTCTTATCCTGGCCATTCAACCAGAACACATAACACGCTATGGCACCGGCTATTGTCAGCATTCAGGAGCTGTTTGTTCCTGTGATGATCTTGTTCCATATTGTGTTGTGCTTTTACACATTTTAGGCTAAACTAATGCAGAACTGTGGACGGTGGTAGCCGTCAGTCTGACCACCTTCATGCTGCCGTGTGTTGGACGTGTAGTTGATCATTACTGTGGTAATATAAGCATGTTGACTTGGAAAAGACACCTATTGCTGTACATCTTATATAGTTTACTGCACTGAATTAGATTTATAGGATAAAATACGATTTGCCTCGACTGTTCTGGGACAGGTTTGGGTTTTCGGTTCCACATGTCCGTCCAACAACTGGCATTTTCCAGTTTGTTCCCAGAGGTGTGTGAAAGAGTGTGATGGTGTGAGGTCAGTGTTTATCGGTGTTTCCCACGCAGTGATTTATTTATATGTCTCCCGTAATATCAGCATTGACCGTCACGTATTGATTTTCTGTTTTCCTACGACTTAAACTGAGTGAAGCCTTATTCGCTGTAGAGCTGCGTCCTGCTTTCTCTCGTCTGCGATCAGCTTCTCGCTGCACATCCCAATGAAAACATGCAGAGGGGGAATGATAGCTGTCGGCGTGTCCCTGCAGAACAGAATCAATTCTGGGTTCACAGCTGGTTAGTCTCATGAACAGCTCTGCACAAAATATGTCCACACCTGACACATTCTAGTTAACGCTGATAAATTAGTCCATCTAGCCTGAGCACAGCGCTGTCAGTCCGGGACTCTTTGATTAAGTTTTTAGGAGGTTTAAGGAGTCTGGTGTTACTTTTCCAGATCTCGGGCTCGTGACTGTGGCAGGAAGGTGAGGTTTTTGTTGTCAGCAGAAAGTTAACACCTACACATTTTGTCACTGTTGTTGCTTCACCGTACTCTTCCATCCGCAGCGTTGTGCAAAATCTAATGGCTCTGAAAGCAGATG